AAAAAAAAAAAAAAATCCTCCAAAAGGGACAGAGAGGTGTGTCGAGAAGTTACAGCCGGGCAAGTCCTCCGAAGGGGTTCTGTTTAGGGATAAGGGTGCAAAGGTAAGAGAGACAGTGGAAGACAGACCTAGCTCTACCAGTAATTCACACAGATCTGACAGCCTTACAGCTGAGAGGCAGAACTAGGGAAGCCCAGATTGTCCAACAGACAAACACCATAACACTGTGTTCACAACTCAGGTGAGGCCTTACAAGCCCTAGGTTGCGTCAAGAGGCTAACTTAGGCAGGGGTGAATGATGGTACATCCTTCCCACAGGAAGTAATCAATGCCGTCCTTCGGGCCTTCCTACCATAAAGGGGAGGAGCGTGTGTGAGTACCCTTTGTAATCATTTCTGACTTGCCGGTGGAATAGGAACCGGACTGATGCTCCCCAGAATGGAAAAGGAGCCAGAACCGTAAGGTTYTGTTTTTTTTGAAAAAAAAAAAAAAAAAAAAGGCTCTGATCAATCCAGCCCAAGGCTATTGTTTTTGGCGTATCATTCCTGAGTAGGTCGGGGTTCTCAACCCTGGCTACCTTCTTCCCCCGAATACAACATACGGTCGTTATAGCTGTATTTGGGGTTCAGTCTAAATACAGCTATAATGCCTATAATCATTGTACGTTGTATTCGGGGGAAGAAGGTAGGCATCGTAGTCGAGCCATGGCTGTCAGATAGACTGGTTCTGACTTAGAACTGAACCACCAGAATTCTTGTCTTCTTCTTCTTCTTCTTCTTCTTCTTCTTCTTCTTCTTTTTCCAACAGTGAGACCTTACATCGGGTCCAGTGTAACGCATGTCCCGTCTCCAACTGGGTAGTCATGCAACTTCTTGAATCCATCAGGTGATGCCATCTGGTCAGCATTCCCTGCTTCGGGCCAGTGTCCCTCTACCCGGGCCACGTTGCCGTGAGCTACGATTTACAGGGCAGCGCAACGCCCCAGTGACTTGACTGCCTCCGTTCTGGTAGGAGAGTGGCGTCAGCAGGTCTTGAACCCAGCACCTGTCCAGTGCAACTCCGGCATGCAACCACACACGCTACGGTAGCCAAGTGGACAGCTTTATTATTTCTTACAACCATCTTCCCGGGAACACAACGCCCCCCGATCATCTATGGACACAAGTTATTTCTTGGGAAGTATACAATCGTGATGAGGGCGTGTTGTGTTGCATCTGGGGGAAGACCGTAGTTCTTGGGGCCTCATCTCATTAGGACTTTTTCGACTGAATCTAACCACAATTCTGACCAGAAACCCGTTGTGATAGTTCCGAGAAAGTCCTAGAGTGACCCTGCTGCCCTTAGGCAAGTTTCAATGCACTTTTGACGTAGTCTTTAGGACTCTTTACATCTTTTCTTCCTCCTGCTGCTTCTTTTCCTCCCTTTTCTTTTCACTCTCTCTCGTGCTGTTGCGTCCGTTCTCTGCTGCAGCCATGGAGTCGAGTTGTATTCAACTTGCGCCAAATGGAAAGACAGAGGTCATCGACAGCGGCAGATGGATCCGAAATTCCGACGAAGAATCAATCGGAAAATGACGCAACCACTGAGGCAAGTGAAGACAGCAAATTCACCGACGGCGTCGATCCCATCCGTCCAGACAATGTCACTTCGAAGAAATCAACAGCTTGCGATGATCTGCCTGGTCCATATGATCACATGCCGACCACATTTCAGGGCAGTCACCACCTTTCAAGGATTGTTCATGCCTTTGAAGAAGTTGCAACGAAGAAGAACACGCCGCGGGCAGGCAAGATGCAGAAGAATCCGCCGAGAAAATCGTCCACTTTTCTCCGAATGAAATCCGCCGTGGAGAGCAGAGCTCCAAGTCCTCTTGTTTGGCAGGTCTTACGACTACCGCTTTCAAGAATATGGGCACCACTTTCCGACAAATCGAATGAGGATGCGTTGTCGTTGCTATTGCCGCCGGAGCGATCTGCTTCGGGGGCACTTCATCCGAATTCCATAATCACTGATGGCACTGCAGATGGCACTGATGGCACTGATGACACTGACTGGAGTGAAAACAATTCCATCTCAACGAACTTGGATAAAGCGCAACTAGACCACTGGAAGCCAGATATCAGGTAAAGGGAAAAAGACAAGCCACTCTAACCCAGTTTTTAGTACTTATTACCGAACAGATTGTTATTTACCAAAAGTTCAAAAGGGGAAATAGTATTCTTCAAAGTTAAAAATAATAAACATATCCGTATGATTCCATAATACTTCAGAAAGTAAACAGCATTTCACAACTGCCCCCGAAAAAGCACGCCTTCCAGTCGTGACCAAGGAATTGGGCATGCAACTTTCTGTTATGCCCAGGCCCCAGGGTCAATTTCGAACCAGTAGGACCCACAAATTATGGTTATACACAGGTACTGGACATCCCAAATTTCACTATCTGCAAAATTTCTGGCATCCCTCTCTCTCTCTCTCTCCTGTCTCTTATACACATCTAGATGTGTATAAGAGACATATTATACAATGACGCGCAGGGAATTGTTCAAATC